ACAAACAAACCAAAACAAAAACCCCAAAAAACAAACAAACAAACAAACAAACAAAAACAACCTTGAGACCTAGAGAGATGGCTCACATGTCAGAGGCTCAAAAATAAAAACCAAAACTCTAACTCCATGCTGTCTACAAGAAACTTTTGTTTTTTAAGATTTAAGAGCTACATCAACCAAAACTGATGGGAAAGGGGTATTCCATGGGAACGGAAAAAAGAAGCAAAGTGGTCATAACTATACTTATATCAAACCAAATAAGCTTTTAAGTCAAACTTTTTCTCAAAGGTCATTAGATAGTAATAAAATGGTCAATTCAATTGGATATAAATAAATATGTACCCAATACCAGGACACCTAAATATACAAAGCAAATATGGACAAGCCTGAATTGATAAATTACTGAAAAAACAGAACTCAACAACACACTGTCAATAAACAGTGGATAAACTATTCTCACAGAGCATCAATAAATACTGAACTTTAATAATATTGTATACCAAATGGACACAAACAGAACTTTCTGTTGTAAAATATTTTTTCACACTGTATGTGTCACTGTGATTGGGGTTTAATAATGAGCTGAATGACCACTAGCTAGGCAGGAAGAAGTTAGGTGGGACTTCTGGGGACAAAGAGCTCTGGGAAGAATAAAGGAGAAGTCACCAGCCAGACACAGGGGAAGCAAGATGGGCAGTACAGAGGAAAGGTAACCGAACCACATAAAAGAATGTAGATTTAAAACTATGGGTTAATTTAAGTTATAAGAACTACTTTAGAACAAGCCTGAGCTAAGGCTGAGCTTTCATAATTAATAATTAGTTTCTGTGTTGTTTCTTGTGAGCTGGCAGCCCAAAGAAAAACCAGCATAAGCTTTCAATTTAACATCCTCCATTACACGAAACATTTGTATCTTTACTTGCTTCTTAAGCATGTACTGAACATTTTCTAGGATAGATTACATTATATCACAAAAGATGCCTCATGAATTTAAAAGATCAAAATCATACAAAAAAAGCCTTACTGACCACTATGGAAAAAAAACTAGTCACCAGTAATATTTAAAAAAAAAAAAACAATAATAACAAATCTAAGAAAACTAAGCAATATATCATTGGGTCAAAGAGGAAATCAAAAGGAAACTTCCAGACTATTTTGAAATATGGAACTGGAGAGATGGCTCAACAGGCAAAGTGCTTGCCAAGTGTGGTGGTTTAGATAGAAATGATCCCCATAGACTCTCATATTTGAATACTTGGTCACCAGGGAATGGCATTATTAAGAAGTGTGACCTTATTGGAAGAAGTACGTCATTGGAAGTGGGCTTTGAGGTTTCAAATGCTCAAGCCAGGCCCAGTGTCTCTCACTCTTCCTGCTGCCTGCAGAGATGTAGATAGAACTTTCCGCTACCTCTCCAGCACCATGTCCATCTGCATACTACCATGCTTCCCACCATGATAATGGACTAAACCTCTGAAATGAAAGCCAATACCAATTAAAGGTTTTCCTCTATAAAAGTTGCCATGGTTATGGTCACAATGACCATGAATAGAAACCCTAAGACACTAAGCAATAGAAGTTATCTTAGTTATGGTTTCTCTTGCTGTGAATAGACACCAAGACCACAGCAACTCTTACAAGGAAAACATCTAAGTGGGGTGGCTTACTTACAGTTTCAGAGGTTCAGTCCATTACCATCATGGTGAGGAGCATGACAGCATGCAGGCAAACATGGTGCTGGCTACATATTGATCTGAAGGCAACAGGAAGTGGACTGTGACTCTGGGAATAGCCTGAGCATAGGATAACTCAAAGCCCACCCCCACAGTAACACACTTCCTCCAACAAGACCACACCCACTCTACCAAGGCCACACCTCCTAATAGTGCCACTCCCTTGGGGGGCCATTTTCTTTCAAAACACCACACCTAGACACAAAGCAAACAAGAGGACCATGCTTCAATACTTATCATCCAGGAGAGAAAACTACTAGAAGGTGTGCATATCTGGTTATACACTGGGGAGACAGAGACAGGAAGTCTCAGGATGGATGGCTAGTCAACTGAGTCAAATCACTGGGCTCCAGGTTCAGTGAGAGACCATGTCTCAAACTATAAGGTGGAGAGTGACTAAAGATACCCAACTTTGACTTCTATCTTCCACATATATGCATGCCATGTGTTGCACAAAAAATAAAAGACCCAGAGACTGATACTGGGGTTCAAGCTTCAAGATAAAGATCAGAAAAGCAAAACAGCCTCGCACTAGCTCTTATTCTATCTCACACTGAAAGGCGATCCAGGCTCCACCAAACCTCAGACTGATGCCTCTCCTCAGCATGGCTGGAGAATCCTGAGACTGAATGTCTTTCAATGCCTCCTATCTTCAGTGTGGCTGGAGAATGAATACCTCCTATCCTCAATGTGGCTGGAGAATGAATGCTTCACACTGAGACCTTGGTCCTGTCTTAGATACCTCCCCAGTGCTGGGATTAAAGGCGTGTGATCCCAGGTGCTGAGATCATCTTTGTGTGAGCTGTTTCTCTTTAGGACTGGATCAATCTTGTATAGATCTGGGTGGCCTTGAACTCACAGAGATCCATCTACCTCTTAATCCCAAATCCTAGGATTAAAGGTGTGTACCACCACCTCCTAGCTTCTGGCTGCTGGGATTAAAGGTGTGTATCTCCACTGCCTGATCTCTATAGTTTGAGGCTGGCTTTGCTTTCTGAATCCTCAAGCAAGCTTTAATAGATCATAAATAATATATCAACACATACATGCACACAAAGACATACACAATATCTTGAGATATGTGAAAATGTGCAACATAAGTATGCAGGCTACTTTTATGTCAATAGCAAATAAGAGACTGAAGAAAAACAATAAAACAGCAAAACCATCCCAACAAAGACTGGAATCAAATATCTTCATATAATAATCATACCATACATTCAAGAAAGAACTAATATCAGCCCTTCTGAAACTCACTTCCAAAATCATTTTACGAAACCAGGATACTAAAGCCAGACAAAGTCACCGCCACAAAAAACTACGAGCCAATTATCATTGATGAACATAGATGTAATAATCTTCAATGAAATAGAAGCAAACCAAATGCAATAGCACATCAAAAAGACAACTACACTATGACTAAATAGAACACTTGCTTGGACCACAAAGTTTGTTCAATACACACAAACCAATGATGATATGCCACACTGACAGAATGAAAGTAAAAAATCTCAGTCATCTCAATAGAAGCAGAAAGTGTCTGGTATATGGCAAAACACTCATCAACAATTGAAGCTCTAAACAAAATAGGTAGAGAATTGACCACAACCAGATAAATACAATTTAGGGAACCCCACTGCTAAAATCATAATGAATGGGGGGGAAAAATACTAACAAAACAGTTTTCTTTCCAAGATCAGGTACAAGCAAGGAAGGATGCTCAGTTTTAGAACTTATTTTTGGGGGGCAGGAAGGATTAGGGGGTTCTTTCTATGTAAAATACACTGGCCTTGAACTTATCATTCTCCTGCCTCAACCTCTGCAAACCACTATAACATCTTATTAGAAGGCATACTCAAGAGCTCTGAGGAAAGAAAAAGATATAAAAGTCAACCAAATTAGAAAGAAGTAAATTTGTCTCTGCAGATGACAAGTCTCTCAGTAGAAAACCTCAGATTGTACAACACACACAAGAAATTTCTAGAATAAACCCAGTAAAGTTGCAGGATGGGAAATTAACATTAAAAAAAAAAAAAAAAAAAAAAAAGCTCTAGTACTCTGGAGGCTGAAAAATGGCTCAGCAGTTAGGAGAACTTGCTTCCAGAGTTCAGTTCCCAGTATCCACATCAGGTTGTTAGCTCATAACCACCTGTAACTCCAGTCCTAGGGATCTGATGCCCTCTTCTGGCCTTAAAGGGTATCAGCACACACATATGGATACATACACATACATAAATAAATAAATACATAAATAAAATAAATCCTCAACAAAGTCAGTAGTTTCTTTAGAGAGATAAGTAATTATTCCAAAAAAATTCAAGTCTGTTTACAATAGCGGGCGAAAAATGAAAACATTTAGGTAAAAAAAAGTAACCAAGTAGGTTAAAGATCATCTATACACCGAAAACTTTACAAACAGAAAACAGATAAATGAGAAGACAGCCCATTTTCAAGAATTGAAAATCAATTTTTACATTATTTTACCAATATTGTTAATATGTCTTCACTACTTAACATATTTAACCCAATGCCTACCAAAAAAAAAAAAAAAAAAACACCAAATGGCATTTTTCAAAGACATATAGAGCAATCTTAAAACATGAATAGTAGCGGGAGGGGAGAGGGGAGGAGGGAAAGAACTTTATTTCCATTTTGATTAAAAACAGAAAACCCCCGCGAAGGGGTTTGGCTTACTGAGCACCTACGTTAATCGTTTAGATTGATCAGTCCGCATGAGTCTTTCGCTTGCAGACACCACACAGCGGGCCTTTGACACGTGGTCAGTGCTATTTACAACGGAAACGTGAGACGCGAGGGAAAGGGCACCGTGTGGCCATTCGAAGAGGCCCTGCCAGAGGCGGAACCATAGCCCCAACCTTTTAGCTCGGATTCCCACTCCACGCTAACTCCTGCAGGCTACGGACCAGGGTCCCGTCTCTACCCTCCGGGCGCTCCCCCGCTCCCCCGCTCCTGGTTACTTTCGCGGAACGTAGCCCATTGAGAAATCCTCAGCTTTACCTGGATCGAGACCAAAAGTCTCTACGTGTAGCCAAGGGAGCCTTCCACAGCCAGCCTCTTCCAGCAAACCGGCATACACAGAGCGCCGCCATCTTCGACAAGCGTCCCTGAGCGCCCTAACGTGCCCAACTCAGCCAATCAGATGCGAGCTTACTGCAGCGGTCCCTGTTGTGGCCTAACCCTGTGCACACCGGGAAATGTAGTCCAGTTGCCATTTGCGGAAGAAGGCTGTGGCGCGTTCCCGGGGCATGTTGGAAGTTGTAGTTGGAGAGGTTCCGTGAAGGTTCCGGGTAACGCCTTCTGGTCCGGGGGTGGTCGGTGGTAGCACCGCTTGAGTGTGAAGTGGAGAAATTGGCGACAAGGAGACTACTGCGAGGCCTGAAAGACTGCGCAGCCGGGCAGAAGACGGGGCTTGGGGTTGGCGGATATCCAGGCATAATGTCTGATATGTCCCTGGGAACATGACCGCTCCGAGACCGAGGCAGGACCTCACTAGACCCATCCAGTGAGCCTCGTCTTGGCGGGGCCTAATTTCCAGCAGTTGGCTAGGCCTCACCAGAGCCTCATTGCTGTGTGGCTGCTATTCCTGGACGAGGAGATGGCGTCCCCGAGCCCACTGCTGGAGCCAAAGGTGAGTTGCCCTTTCCAGAGAGCTCCGTTATTTCGCCACTCCCGAGACGGACAGGCTGCGCCATCACCTCTTCCCCAGTGCCTGTCAATTGGCCTCCAGCTCTAAGGAAAGGACCCCAGCCAACTGCCCGTGTGCCCCTTGCTCCGGGGTGCAATTAGTTCACTTACAAACTGTCCACAGGCTCTTTTTTTTTTTTCCATTTTTCCCCCAAGAACAACTTGGAGAAAAATAAGACTGTTCCAAGTTAGTTCTCATTTGTGAGCTCCCCAGGTGAGACACTATTTTTGATTTCCTCTGTCTTCTGCAGCTGTCATGATGGCTGAACTCAAAGTGGGTGCTTAGGGAACTAATAGAATGGAGTTGTAGTGGGTCACCAGCTGGTGTAGGTAGACCATTGGAGGGGGACAGTGAGGTGAAGGAAGCTTGGAGAGGTCTGGAGGCTGTTAACTATCATTAAAATAGTAGTGGTGTCACTGTGTAATAACTAAACCAGAAAGGACCTTCAGTTTGGAAAGTACGAATTGAGATCAGTTCCTTACCAGTCTGGGGTGCCTGGCTGTACCTGTCAGTTCCAAGAGATGGGCACCTTTTGATACCAGTAATAGCGTCTCCCACTTCCAGTGGTAGAATTGTCCTTGAGATAACTGGAACTGACTGCAGAAATCACACTATTTCAGCAGTTGCTGACATTTGAGGATATAACTATGTTTTTTTTTTTTTTTTTTTTTTTTTTTTTTTTTTTTTTTTTTTTCCCCAGGAGGAGTGGGATTATCTGGATCCAACTCGGAGAAGCCTGTATAAAGATGTCATGATGGACAGTTATGGAAACATGGTCTCACTGGGTAAGATTGTACTGTTTCTCTAACTAACATATCTAACTTGCTAACACTCATATTCAGAATGCTTCAGCCAATACTGTTTTTTTTCCAAAATTCTGATTCAGATCTCGCAGCCATTAACTATTTCCATAGCTCTCTTATCCCTGGCTTCCTTGTAACCAAAAGGAAAGGTTTTCTAGCTTCCTGATCTCATTCCGTTACTGTTCTGTGCTTTTCTTCATGGTCCATCTTCCCACTGCTTTCCTCCCACCCCTTTTCACTGCCTTCTGGAGCCTGGGTTTCTTTACACAGTGTTCTGGACTCCTCCTGGACCACACTGAAACCTGGCACTTTCCCAAGGACACTGCTTCTCTGGCAAACCTTCAAGTGGGGGCTGCTCATTCTCTCCAGTTGTCCTTCCTCTTGCTTTGTCTCAAGGCTGAGAGGCAGAAGTTAGTTGTTCTTCCAGCTCTTCAGTGCTGCTCCCAAAGCATTTGTTTTCCACCTTCCAATAAAATGTCCTCTTCTATCAGCAGTCTTGCTCTACCCATTCTGTTTATCACCATCTGTCAACTTTTTTGTCTTTTAGTCTTCACTGCTAAACCCAGTCAGTAAGTGAGCCTCAGTGAATCTTGGTCATGTAGACCCCAGTAACAGTTGGTTGTTGACTATAACTAAACAAAGAGGTGAAACAGGCCTGCTTCTTGCCCTGGTGTGTAGCTTGCCTTTCCATCTGTCCTTTGCCTTTCCACCTAAATCTATTCATTCTTAATGTATTTCCTGCCTCTTGTTGTGTCCTTGTCTTCCCGATGGTTTCAGTCTTGTCCTCACTTGGGAAGATCTCTTCTAATCACCAGCATGATATCTGGCCACTTTGATATTATGCTATACTGGTTCTACAAATTTCAAATCTTGTATTTATTATGAGATTTATTCTTTTTGCCCCTTTCTTCCTAATACCCACCCCACAGCAGGAACAATTCTCTAAGTAAAGGATCAGTGCCTCTAAGTATCTAGTGAGGAGGGGATGTTTGTTGTTTTGAGAAAGGATCTCTCTGTGTAGCCCTAGTTGACCTGGAAATCACTTTGTAGACATGGCTGGCCTGGAGGTCACAGGACTCCACCCACCTCTGCTTCCTAAGTGATTAGGAATTCCTAAGGGATTAAAGGCGTGCACCATACACACCATAGTGTGTGTATATGTGTCTCCTAATTTACTTTGGGTTTAAATCTCAGCATTTTTTTGTATGTGATATGCTTCTTTTCCTATTAATTTAGTAGCAGTTTCAAAATTTAAAATTTTCTCATCACTTTGTGTGCTTCATCTTGTATTTCACAGACAAAATAAAGTTCATTAACATGAATTCTTAACTACTGTGCTCCTCTTCCAAACACTCTATAGCAGCTTCAGTCTTTTCACCAGAAACCGAGCTATCACCTCATTTCTTTGTCCCTTGCTACTTAAAGAAATTGGGAGGATGTTTCTGGGGATCGAGCCTAGTGTGTTGTTTATGCTAAGCAGCCTTTCTACCAGTGGGTACATCTCCAGGTCCTTACCCTCTGTAACCTCTGTTCTTATGATAGCTCTACATCATGGCCTTTCCAGCTTGGGGAAAAAGAAAAAAAAAAGAAAACAACTGAACCAGTATCTTCCTCTTCCTGTTCCTGTGATTTCCTGCTTCTCTTTTCCCACCAGGGTTTTTGTAAGTTCATGTATATTTTGTGCAGCTTTACCTTCTGCTGTCTCTGTGATTTTTGTCTTGGCTCCTCAGTCTCCTTAAGTTGTTCCACAAGGATTTAACAGCCTCACTGTCAGATGTAGTAGACTCTTGGACCTTATTCTAGCCCTTTATGAATGTCTATGACTTTTTGTTACTTGAGACAGGTTTTTGCTTCAAAGCTGACCTCAAATTCACAATATTCCCACTTCAGCCAACCCAAATTTCTGGGATTTCAGGCATACCACACTACACATTGTTGGCTTAAAACTCTGTTTTTGTTTTGTAATTATTTTTTTCTTTATTTTTTTCTTTGAATTAGAAACAAGATTGTTTTACATGTCAATCCCAGTTCCCACTCCCTCCCCACCTCCCCTGCCACCCGCCCCCAACTAATACCCTACCTATCATATACCCTTTCTGCTCCCCAGGGAGAGTGAGGCCTTCCTTAGGGCCTCAGACTTCCATCAGAGTCTATCATATCCTTTGGGATAGGGCCTAGGCCCACCCACATGTGTCTTGGCTCAGGGAGTATCCCTGTATGTGGATTGGGCTCCCAAAGTCCACATTTATGCTAGGGATAAGTGCTGAACTACTACAGGAGGTCCCATAGATTTCCGAGGTCTCCTCACTGAA